AAGTAATTAAGAAATAGTTTGCATGGAGTTTTTTTTTTTTTTTTTAATCTTTTCTTAACCCTTTACCTACATTTATCAATTAATGGTTAGTTTTCCTCTCTTTCTCTCTTTTAACCATTTGAAAGTTACAGACATCATGACCCTAAATACTTCAGCATGTATCTACCAAAAATAAGAAAATTCTCCTAGACTACTATAATCCCATCATTACACCTAAGAAAATTAACATTAATTCAGCATCATCTAATAGTCTACACTCATATTTCTGCAGTTATCTTAATATCTTTTTTTTTTGAGACAGATTCTCACCCTCACCCAGGCTGGAGTGCAGCAGCGCCATCTCGGCATACTGCAGCCTCTGCCTCCCGGGTTCAAGCGATTCTCCTGCCTCAGCCTCCCGAGTAGCTGTAACTACAGGCCCTTGCCGCCACGCCCTGCTAATGTTTTGAATTTTTAGTAGAGACAGGTTTTCATTGTGTTAGCCAAGATGGTCTCCATCTCCTGACCGAGTGATCTGCCTGCCTTGGCCTCCCAAAGTGGTAGGATTACAAGTGTGAGCCACCGCACCCGCCATTTTAATATTTTTTATTGTGGTTTATTTTTTTCTAATCCAATTAAGGTTTATTGCATTTGGTTGTTTTGTCTCTGTAGTTTAAATAATCTAGAACAAACCTCTCTTCTTTTGTTTTTCATGACATTAAATTTCTTTTCAAGTCCAGGCCTTATAAAGTACCCTCACATTCTGGATTTATTTGATTACTTCCTCATGATTAGATTCAGGTTCAACTTTGTCAGCAAGGGAATCATGCAGATAAATGTCACAAACCTCTCATTGCATCATTTCAGGAGACCCATAGTGGCAAATTGTCCCTAAGTTTGATCACCTGGTGGAGGCAGTAGTAGTCAGATCTCTCCATTATAAAGTTACTTTCACTCATAGCTAGTAAGTTAAGGTGGGGTGATGCTTTAAGACCGTGAATGTTGTCTCCTCGTAACCTTTCACCCAATGGTTTTGGCATACGCTGATGATCCTTATCTGATTCCGTTATCTCACTGAAGTTTGCAAAGTGGAGATTAAATCAGTCTTGACTATTTGTCAGCATTCATATGGAAAGAAGGTATGCTGGGTTTGAGAACATCTGAATTTAGGTTACCTCAAATCATGCTGGCTACTCAGAAAGCAAAGGCTCCTTTTACCATGTTTCTTAAGAGATCATCTCCCTTCCAACTCCTTTGCTGGGGTGGGGAGTACAGGGGATACTTTTTTTCCCCATGCCAATCAACACCCACCTGAGAGAAAAGACTCCTAACTTCCTCCTCCTAAGCATCACGGCTTTAGGTTGCCTCTCTGGTGTCTGCCTCTGGTGCTATCCATCTCTCCTAAGCTCTGCTGGGAGAACATAGAAGCTGTGATCCAGTAATTTCCTCAGTATCTCAGAATCCTAACTACAAACCACCTGCATCAGCCCCCATTCTTTCTACCTTCCTTCTTACTACGAAGAAGAAAGTGCCTTCTATCTGTGCTCTCAATTCCACTTCTTCCTGTCTTCTCAAGAATCTTATGCAACTGATTATCCTTTTTCCTGTGCTGTTATGTTCAAGTCTCCCGTTGCTCCCTTACTGGATTTTTATCATCATCATTTAAATATTTTATAGTCTTATATTAAAAAGTCCTTTCTCTTCCCAGTCACCTTTAGCTTTGTTTCTATTTTCCCCTTAACAGCTGAGCTGTCTAAACGTTCTGTCTCTACTTCCTACTTCATTTTTTTTTTTTTTGAGATGGAGTTTCCTTCTTATGCCCAGCCTAGAGTGCGATAGTGAGATCTTGGCTCACTGCAACCTTCACCTCCCGGGTTCAAGCGATTCTCCTGCCTCAGCCTCCCAAATAGCTGGGATTACAGGTGCCCGCCACCATGGCCAGCTAATTTTTGTATTTTTAGTAGAGACAGGGGTTTCGCCATGTTGGCCAGGCTGGTTTTGAACTCCTGACCTCAAGTGATTCATCTGCCTCAGTCTCACAAAGTGCTGGGATTGCAAGTGTGAGACACTACTCCTGGCCTCTACTTCCTACTTCTTACTCAGTCTCAATAAACTCTATTCTGGATTCTGCTCCTACCACTTCACCAAACAGCTTTTACTAAGATCACTGATGACTTGTAAGTGAGTGTATTCACTGGTCTAATTTTGCTTTACCTATCAGCAGCATTTGACCAGTTGACTACATCCTGCTTTTTAAAACACTTTTGTTCCTTGGTCACTATGACACTGCTCTTTCCTGGTTTCCTTCTGAACTTTCTGACAGTTCTGTCACAGTTAGTTACCTCTGTCAGTGTTCTTCAGCTTCAGCCTAGTCCTCTTCTCTGATTTTACAAAATCTCATTAAATCATCACACTCACTTTCATAACTTCAATTAATTTACCCTCTGATGCCTTCCACCTTTATAACCCAAGCATAAATCTCTCTTCTGAGCACCAGGCTTATAAATTCAACTGCTACTAGACACCTCCATCCAGATGCCTCACTGGCCCCGCAAATTCATTGTGACTAGAATTAAACTCATCGTTTTCTCTCCAAACCTGCTTTTTGTCCAGAGTTTCCTATTTTAGTAAATGCCACTGAATCTGGAGATAACCCTTGCTTGATATTTTTTCTGCCTCACCTCCCACATCTAGTCAGTTATCAAGTTCTGCTGATTTTACCCCCTAAATTAAATTCATTTACTTTTCCCCATCTTCCCTAGTCCGGGCAACCATCCTCACTCACCTGGACCACTGTGATAGCCCCCTCATGGTTTCCCTGCGTATATTCTGCCTTTCCAATCCATTCTGCATACTGCAGCCCAAATGATTTGTAACAGCTTTGATAAGATGTAATTAACATAACTTATAGTTCATCCATTTAACCAAGTGACCTTTTAAAAACACAAATCTGAGCAGGTTATTCCCTGCTTATGATTTTGAAATCAAGTCTGAATCCTTATTCTAGCTTAAAAGGTCCACATGATCTGCCTCTTTCTTCCTGAAGCCCCCAACTTCATTCTCTGTCATTCACTCTCCAGACTTCATCCATGGTTGCCTTTTCTCTATTTCTTGAACTTGCCATATTCTTTATTCCATTTTTACACATTGATCTTTTTTCTTAGAATACTGTTCCCTCTCTACCACTTTCTAACTCATCAGTCTTCCCGCTGCAACTTAAATATCACTTCTTCTGGGAAGCTTTCCTTGATACTCCCAGTGCCTGGTATGGTGTGGGGTCAGATACATTCACAATCATTTGCAAAATCCTTCACATTTAAAGTTTGACTTCCCTGTTAGACTATAGGACAGGGATGGTGTTTATCTTGTTCACCTTTGCATCCTCACTGCCTAACATGGTTGCCTAGCACATAATGTGCAATCTCTAAACATGGTTGGATGAATGCTGGGTGAATGGGGGTATTGTTACCAAGATCCATGCCCTGCCCTGACCCCTGCTCTCATCGTTGTTGAAGTCACCAACTACCAAAGCTGTCTTATGTATTATTACTATTGTTCTGTGCTGAGAGAAATAGCTTCAGAATTCGGTCATGTTGTTTCACTTCTACATCTCCCTTAATCAGGAAACTAAACTAAAAGCTGAGTCCAACAATATTGACCCTTATGCTGAACCCCCAGGCCATTAGACTTTAGGGAATAATTTTTAACTGGGAGCAAGGGAGAATAAGTAAAAATCTGTTGATTCAAGTTTACATGTACATACACAGATGAGTTGATAAATACAGTAATGGATGCATGGATACACACATGTAAATGTGCATGTACAAACACAGGGCCCAGCTGTCGTACTCCAATATGCATACATACACTCTCTCACAGAGGCAACCTGATATATACTCACTCCTTACATATGTACACAGAGTAAAATGACATATGCTTGGCACTTATGCATATGTACAGAGGCAAGCTGATACATTCATTACATATGTACACACAGGCCAATGGCATATGGTCAATACATATGTATACATACAGAGGCAAGCTGACATACTTAAACACACACAGTGGTAAAATATAATTATTTAGTTCCATTTGACTCACTGTAATTCCTCCAGGTACCTAGCTCCTTGCGTTCTCTCTTTCATGATTCTTGGCTCAGTGGATGCCATTCTCAAGTTCCCACGTTCTCGGCTGAAACCTCTTGTCCTTCCCTTTGACCCACCTGGCTTTTTGTCAGAACTTTTCCTCCCAGCAGCTTGATTGCCTCTGCCAGTTACCAGGCTGCCATCCTGCAGGTCTGTCTAGTACCCAGCCAGCCCAGATGAGCCCTTTTCCCTGTTGACTTTAACCTTTTGGGTTTTAATTCAAAGTCTAGGCTAGGCTTTGGAGTTAGACAGACCTGGCCCTAGCCCTGTTGCCCATTAACTAAGTAACCTTGGGCAAATTACCTATCCTCTCCAAACCTCGGTTTTCTCATCTATACAATTAAGATAATACTGTAATAGTACCTTCTCAGCCCAGGCAAAGTGGCTCACACCTGTAATCCTAGCACTCGGGGAGGCTGAGATGGGAGGATCAATTGAGGCCAGGTGTTCAAAAGCAGCCTGATCAACAAAGTGAGACTGTCATCTCTTAAAAAAAATAAAATTAGCCAGGCATGGTGGTGCACACCTATAATCATAGCTGTTCAAAAGGCTGAGGCTGGAGGGTTGCTTCAGTGCCCAGGAGTTCAAGGTTACAGTGAGCTATGATCACATCACTGCACTGCACTCCAGCCTGAGTGACAGAGTATGACCATGTCTCCAAAAAACAAACAAACAAACAAACAAAAAAATACTAGGTTTTTGGTTGTATTACATTAGATAATACATGCAGAGCTCTTAGTTTGGTATATAAGTACAATTAATGGCAACTGCCACTAACAATAACATTTATTATGTGCTTACTATGCGACTCCTACTTCTAGCTAATGACTGACTACTTATGAGGTAATAAACATGGTTATAAGCACTTCACACGCATCACATCTATGAACCCAGTTTATTCTTACAACAACCTTATGAAGCAGATAAAAATTTGATCTCCATGTTACAGATGATCAAACGGAGGCACCAAGAAGTTAAGTAATTTGGCCAAGTTCATATTGCTGGCAAATAGCAGAGCTAGGATGCAAACCCAGATGGTTTGGTTCCAGAGCCTACACTCTTAATTACTATGCTATACCTCCTACTTCCATTTACACGTGATTGTCTCACTCAGAGAAGCTATTTCTTTGGTACACTCCTTTATGAGGTAAAACCCTTGGAGAAATTTTTGAATTGCGGCTGAAAATTTCCATTTGCTGACAGATCAAGAAAAATGTTACTTCTGTATTCAGAGCAATGCTGAACAATTGAATGACAAGAAGACCTGCAGGAAAAACCCAGAGATGTCTCCTCAGTTTCTCTACCCACTCACAGGGACTGTTTGGGTGAGAAGTGACAGTGACAGTGATGAAGCCTATTCTCCTTCAGGCAGATTTAGGATGTCTTTCTGCATTCCCATAGCGCTTTTGTTCTCTAACCCTTGCCTTCTTGGCTTCTACCTTGTCTCTGTAATTAAGGACCACTCAGGGGAAGTGGATAAGAATAACAGTGATTTCAGCCAGACTCCCCACCATTGTCATCACAAGAATCTGTGAATAGAATCACAAGAAACCCAACAAAATCTCCTGACATTCTTGCAAGGGGGTCAGGATGGCTTGTGAAGACTCTTGGGTGCCTGCAGTCTTGATAATGCCAATTTTTTGCTTCAGATTTTTTATGTCACATGATGATGCTTCTCCATCTTCTCCTGCTAGTGATGTGGTGGGGCTTTACAGTCAGAATGAACCAGGTGACTCCAACTTCTTCACCTTGTGGCCTTGGGTACTTGATCTCATTAGGCCTTTGTTTTCTTATCTATAAAATGGAAATAATACTTACCAAAAAGGTGGGTGGGAAGATTAATGACAACAAATGCGAAGTGCCTGGGGCATAGGCATACCTGGGTCATAGCAAGTCCTCGGTGTACTATGATCATGGCTCAATCCAGCAATTACTCTCTCCCACTGAGGTTATTATTATCAGATGTCCCCTATTAAACCATAAGCTCGATGAGAATGAGAGACTTTGTTTTTTTCACTGCTGTTTCTCTGTACCTATACAGTGCCTGGATCATAGTAGGTGCTCAGTAAATATTGGTTGAATCAATGAATTAAGTCCTAAACAAGTTGACCTTGCTTTTTAAGGTTTTTACTAAACTGGCTGGCATTCAGATGCTCTTGCTCACAGGAAAGTGTTCCCTCTGCCTGGAGCACTCCCTTTTCACCTGGTTAACTTCTACTCCTCCTTCTTACCTTAGCACAAGCATCACTCCTTTAGAGAAACCTCTCCGACCTTCCACTTCATTGTATTTGTTAACCATGTTGCAATTTTACTTTTATTTGTATAACTGTTTGATTAATATTTGGCTGTAAACTTCCTAAGGACAGGGACCAGGTCTCTTTTACTTACCATTGCATATTCCCAGGCACTAGGAGTAGACCTTCAGTACAAATTTGCTGAATGAATAAATAACATATCCATTTTGCAAAGATCCTCCCTCTAAAAACTGGGGTCCAGTTTCACAAATTGGATCAGAGGTCAGTCCCCGGCTTTGCAGTGCTGCACCATAAATCATTGCTTTCCCCTGTTTCTGGGTCAAGCACTGTGACTCCTACTGGGGCCAATTTGTTAGTCCCAAAGTGTCTCATTACTGTTTATCAGGACTTCGTTATGCAGCTGGACCCTCCAGCAGGAGGTCTAGGAAAGCCAGGATATTGGCAGGGCTAGGAGTATGGGATGGGATTTGCCATTTACATCTATCCCACCCTCACTCCATTTATATTTAATATTTATCATACTGAGTTGTAGTTGCTAATTTTCAGGTGCCTCCTTCTCTCCCACACAGTGAGGGCAGGATCTCTTGCCCCCAGAATCTACTCCAGTGTGCAGCGAATGCTCATAAGGGTTTCTTGAAGGAATGAGATGTTTTCCATGAGTGAAGCTTAATTGAGAACAAAAATCAACTCATAAGACTATCTCTGACATTTAAAAATAAAAAACCTGAGCCAATAAATCCCTTAACCTGGATTGGGTTTTCTGTTACTTGCAACTGAAAATATTCTGGTAGAGCATAACTAATGATGTTCAATATAACATCATTATATTTTTGAACAAAAATCTCTGATTGATTTTTGTTTAAAAATATTCACTTCCTATCCACTCCCTCTCACTTACCTTCATAAGGAGAATAAATTTCCTTTGAGCTCAGTTATGGGACTGATTTTAGCTAGTGATTTGTTAGCAGACATATACAAGCAGCATGTACAAAGTGCTGGCACAGTTGAGTATGCCCCCTAGTACCACTGCCATCTTAATGACAAGAGTTCCTCCTGGGTATCTACTGTCCTATCAGCTGTGGCCCCAGAATGAACACTAGAATAGTGAACCAGAGCTCAACCAGCACACAGGAGTCAAACCCAGCTGAACCTTAGCTTGAAGCAGAGCCATCCAGTCAAGCCTAGCCTAGATCAACCAGCCAATCCCCAGCCAAACTCTAGACCTTTTGAGAAATGAATGCTCATTGTGGCATGCTGCCGAGATTTTATGGTGGTTTGTTATGGAGCAATAATTGACTGATCAAGGTTAGGTCAGGGTTTTCCAGACTTGACAGTGCATCTGAATTGCCTAGAGAACTTTAAAATAAATAAGAGATACTTGGGCATTACCTAGACTGTTTGGAATACTGTTCAGAAACCTACATTCTTTTAAAATTCTCTGGGTGGTTTTTATGCAGTGAGTCCCACTGCCTTTTGCTATCTGATATTTTGGGGTCACCAGTATTAAAGCATGTCATGGGTGTTATATTAATTCACCTCTAACAACATTTACCTCTCAGAGATTATATGATCAAAGTCAGACAAATTCTGTTTCTGAAGCAGAGTTCTTTTCTAGAAATCTGTGTTGAATTTGTGTTAGCTGATTTGGGGAAAGATGCAGATGTAAATTAATTTGTGACTTATGGCCCCAGGATTTTTTTTGCTTTTTTTTTTTTGGAAGTCTAGCTCTGTTGTTGCCCGGTGCCCAGGCGGAAGTACAGTGGCATGATCATAGCTCACGTGTAAACTTGAACTCCTGGGCTCAACTGATCTTCCCACTTCAGCTTCCTTAATAGCTAAGACTACAGGTCCATGCCACTATGCTGGCTAATTAAAAAAATTTTTTTTGTACAGACAAGGTCTATGTTGTTCAGATTGGTCTTGAACTCCTGGCTTCAAGCAATCCTCCTGCCTCAGCCTCAGAAAGTGCTGGGATTACAGATGTGAGCCACCCACCTACCTGCTGATTTTTTGCTTTTCATTTAATGGTTGACTTTTTTTACTATTTCTGCCTGAGCTATGGTTAGCAGTGAAATGAAAATTCAAGGCAGAATACTGGGGCTTGGAGAGCCAAGACACAGGTCAGGAAAGAAGTATGGAAGAGGTCAAGTTTAGCAGAGAAGCTGCTGAAGGAGTGGTCTGAGAAGACTTAGCTGTGGTCTAGCAGTTAGGAATCTGAGATCCCATAGGATTCGGCAAAGCCAGAAGTTCAATTTTTGTAACTACTGGCATGCACCTAACAGTTTAGAGATAATAATATGTTAAAAATGTAAATTTATTTATATAAATAGTATGATGAAAGTACAATTTAAAATAAAGTAGTGTTTTTTTTTGTTTGTTTTTTTGTTTTTTTTTTTTGAGACAGAGTCTCACTCTGTCACCTAGGATGGAGTGAAGTGGCACGATCTCAGCTCACTGCAACCACTGCCTCCCAGTCCAAACAATTCTCATGACTCAGCCTGAATAGCTGGGATTACAGGCATGCACCACCACACCTGGCTAATATTTTGTGCATTTTTAGTAGAGACAGTAGGAGAATTGTTGGCTATGCTGGTTTTAAACTTCTGGCCTCAAGTGATCCACCTGCCTCCATCTCCTGAAGTGCTGGGATTATAGGTGTGAGCCACTGCACTGGCCAGAAGGAAGTAGCTTTTTGAAATGATAAGCCTGGGCAACATAGTGAGACCCTGTTTCTAAGAAAAAAAGTTAGCTGGGCATGTTGGCACATACTCGTAGTCCCAGCTACTCAGGAGGCTGAGGTGCAAGGGTCACTTGAGCCTGGGAGGCTGAGGCTTCAGTGAGCCGTGATCATGCCATTGCATGCCAGCCTGGGTGACAAAGTGAGATACTGTTAAAAAAAAAAAAAAAGATAAAAATTTTTCATTGAAAAAATTTCAGTTCATACAGAAAAATATAAAGAACAGGTAGTTATTACTCATAAGCTGGTCTTTCAGACATAACCACCATTAATGTATTGCTGGATAGTGTCCTTCACTTTTTTTCTATGGATGTGTACACATATATATTCTAGAAAAAAAGGGTTTTCCTATTACTCATTAGTATCCTGCTTTCTCCACATCAGTAAACACTAACCTAATTATCACCATTGTTAAAGCTGCATAACGCTCCATTGTGCTAAGATGTACCATACATTAGTCTCCACTGATGGACATTAAAGTTATAAAGACTGTGATGAACATCCTAATGCATACATTTTTGTGTGCTTGTCCAGTTATCCTTTAGATAAATTCCAATAAATGGAATTGCTAGGTTAAAGAGTAAACACATTTTAAAGGTTTTTGATACACAAATTGCCTTCCTAAAATATATAAATAAGTAGTGTTCAGTCTGCTAATTCTTTTAACTCTTGTTAATCATCCAAAGGAAAAATAATTTTATGGGTTTTATTTTTATTTTTATTTTTTTTGAGATGGACTTTCACTCTTGTTGCCCAAGCTAGAGTGCAATGGTGTGATCTTGGCTAACTGCAACCTCTGCCTCCTGGGTTCAAGCATTTCTGCTTCAGCCTCCCGAGTAGCTGGGATTACAGGCAGTACAGGCACGCGCCATCATGCCTGGCTGATTTTTTGTATTTTTAGTAGAAACGGGGGTTTCACCATGTTAGCCAGGATGGTCTCTAACTCCTGACCTCAGGTGATCCACCTACCTTGGCCTCCCAAAGTGCTGGGATTACAGGCATAAGCCGCTGTGCCCAGCCAGAATTTTGTGGTTTTAATCTTTTATTACTGGTGGGTTCAAATCTGTTTTCATGAATTTATTGTCTGTACTTTTTGTGAATAAGAGTCAAGCTTCCCATTTTTCTTTTTTTTTTTTTTTTGAGACGGAGTTTCACTCTTGTTACCCAGGCTGGAGTGCAATGGCGCGATCTCGGCTCACCGCAACCTCCGCCTCCTGGGCTCAGGCAATTCTCCTGCCTCAGCCTCCTGAGTAGCTGGGATTACAGGCACGCGCCACCATGCCCAGCTAATTTTTTGTATTTTTAGTAGAGACGGGGTTTCACCATGTTGACCAGGATGGTCTCGATCTCTTGACCTCGTGATCCACCCGCCTCGGCCTCCCAAAGTGCTGGGATTACAGGCTTGAGCCACCGCGCCCGGCCAAGCTTCCCATTTTTCTATAATGTCAACTTTTTCTTCTTGACATATACCTTTATATTAAGTATATTGTCTCATATTTGCACTGAAGACATTTTTCCTAATGTGGCTTTGCTTGTGGTGGCTTTTCACACATTTCTTAATTTTATGAATCAACTTGATCAGTTTTTCAATGAGACTTAAAATTCCTTCTGGGGTGGGAGGCAATATAATAGCATGAAAAAGGCAGAGGACTTTCACAAACTTCAGCCCATGATCTTAGTACCTATGTCTGGGTATCATTTAGCAGGATGTGGTAGGAAGAGCACTGGACTGGGAGTCAGATCACTATGCCTCTCTGGATCCCAACTTCCTCATCTGTAGAATGGAGATTAGAATGAAAACTCCCTCCCAGGCCTGTAAAAAAAGAATTGAAGAGAACGCAGATTAAGAGCTTTCACCAGGCCTTGCATATAGAAAATCTTCTCTAAATCTCAGCTATTGTTGTGGGGAGAGGGCAATACAGACTTTTATAAAACTATTTTCAACTCAGTTGTATGTGAGTCTATGGGAATGAGGTAGGGGGTGAGGAAACTAGAAACGTAACCATTCACCCAACATCTCTGAGAACTGCCTGGCAGGAGTCAGAACTTGGGCTCCCATCCTGGTCCTGCCCATTTCTTGGTAGGCGACCTTGGACAAGTCACCTTTACCTCTTCTGCGACTGTTTCTTTACCTAAAAAGTATTGCAGATATATGAGAGACCACCTGCCCTCATTCCCAGCCCTGCTGCTGGGCGAAGGAAACGCTTCAAAAACGCTCATAAAGGGCGGCAAACACGTCAGTTACCGAGCTGCCTACAGCCGAGGGGTGGCCGCAACCCCGGCCCCCGCGCCCCCGCCCCGCCACAGGAACAATAGCTCCCCCGGAGGCGGCGCCGGCCGCGGCCAAGGGCGGAGCTGTCGGCTCGGGCGCTGGGGGTGTGCGCGGGGCGGGGTCGCAGCCACCCCTCCCGCAGGCGACTCCGTCACGCGCCCCTCACCGGGTGGGCCGGGGTCTTTGTGACGCGGTGGCAGCGGCCACGGACACAAAGGGAAGGCGAGGAGGCGAGCGAGGGGCTGGGCCTGCCTCGGGCCCGCGACCCCCGCCCGCCGCGCGCGCGCCCGCTCGCTCCCCTCACCGCGGTCTCCCCCACGCCGGCTCGCACCCTCGCGCGCACCCTCGCGCGCCCGCGACCCTCGCACGCGCCCGGACCCACCGACTCCGTCCCGAGCGCCGCGGGCCCGGGCCTGGCGGGCGCTGCGGGTGGGGCGGGGATGCTGAGGGGCTGCTCCCCGGCTCCGCGGCGCGGCTGCTAGGAGGCGCCGAGGCAGCGGCGGGGCTGTGGGCGCGCGGCTGGATGCCCCCGGCCTGCGGCTCCCTGCGCTTCCCGCCGTCCAGGGGCGCCAGTCATGGGCACAGCGGCCGCTGAGGCGCCGCTCCGGCTGCCTGCCGCGCCCCCGCTCGCCTTCTGCTGCTACACGTCGGTGCTTCTGCTCTTCGCCTTCTCTCTGCCCGGGAGCCGCGCGTCCAACCAGCCCCCGAGTGGTGGCGGCGGCGGCGGGGACTGTCCCGGCGGCAAAGGCAAGAGCATCAACTGCTCAGGTAGGACCGGTCGGAGCCGGCCCTAGGTCTCACCACCCCACCGTGGCCGCCTCCCTCCTGGTCCCCGCGGTCGGCCAGGCTGGGAAAGACCCTGGCGTGGGGGTCCCAGGGATCTGGGCCCGAGGGTGAGCGAGGGCGGAGGGCAGGGCGCGAGCGTGCGGTGTGGCTTGGGGACCGGCGCTGGGGATGGGAGTGGCTGTGCGTGCGTCCGAGTGTGTCGAGTGGCCGGGCGAGGGCGGCCCAGCTCGTGGGGAGGCGGTGGGGCCGGGGCGAGGCAGAGCAGCAGGCAGGGGCTCCCTGTGTGGTCGTGGGTGTGCTCGCGGGAGCGCGTGTTTGTGTTGTGAAGGCTCAGGGGAGGGAGGGCGGCCCCAGGCAGGAATCTCTGTGTGTGTACGGAGTGCAGTGGGTGGGAGAGGGCCAGAGGCTGGGCAGGGTGAGGGCAGGGGAGTGACCATGTGCTGGGGAGGGTCTTCCTTAAGGCACTGGGGTCTTGGGGGGGGTCGCGTGAATAAAGGGAACGGGTTACCTTGAGGACGCGGGTTGGCGATGCAGAGTGACTGTGTGAGTGTGTGTATGCCGGCGCGCGTGTGTGTTCTTTGGGTTCTGAGATGGGATCTGGGGGCTTGGAGTGACCTCGGGTCTGTGGATATCAGAGGGAAAGTCCCAGGGATCCTGTGTTTTTGTGTGTTGTGTGTGTGTGACACACCTGGGGCTCAGTCACCCTGGGGTATGCCCTAAAGAGGAGGGATGGGTGCCCTGTAGCGAACCCCATTTGTGTCTCTTCAAAGGGAGGGGGTTTGGGAGTCATCATCCTGTGTAGGGTTTGGGTGTAGAAAGAGGAAATTAGGTCTCAGGGAGTGCCCTTGTGTAGCAAGATGTAACCCTGGGTTATTAAAGTGGTGTGGAAAGAGAGAACTGGGTCCCAGGGAAGATGCCTTGCCCGTGTTTGTGTGTTTTGCGGGAAGGCCTGGATATTGGCAGCAGCGGGAGCAAGGAAGTGACCTGTCCCCTCTCTCCAAGGCTGCTTGCCCCCCCCCCCCCCCACAGCTGTTGGAAACAAAGAGCTTGCTGGGGCTTTCATGGATAACACTGGGGAGGAGGGGCCCGGCAGTAAAGTTCCCTCTTCCTTTCTAAAGGGGTCCCAGAGGCACACAAGGATTAAGGCCCTGGGGCAAAGAGAGGCATTCAGGTCTCATGGGCCGGGGGCCGGGGGCCTTGGGGAGTTACTCCTGGAGCTTGCCTAGCAGATGCTAGTGATCGTAAGCCACATCTTTGCTAACTTGCCCTTTTATCATTTCGGAGCCTTCTCTTGTCTTCTTTAAACCAAGGCGGAGTAGGGGAGGAAGGAGGGACATCAGGCCACTAGGAATCTGCCATATTCTCTCGAAGGGGCATTATTTCTGGAAGAGTGAGGAAGGAGCAAGAGGATCTCAGCGCAGATGCTTATGCTACCCTAAATGAAGCAAGCCTTTGGCCTGCTGTTTAGGTTTGAAGGCCATACATCTTTTAATAATTTTCATATGGTAATGTTTTATGAGGGGAAGGGCAGTTTTGAGCACAGTTAATAATGGCATGTCCATTAAAAGCATTTCCATCCCTGAAATAACTTTTCCTTTATTTTTCTGATGTTGTGTGAGATATGGGATAATGCTTTCTTACATAATCACACTTTATTTAAGAATAAAAACCAGTTGTATATTAGAGTGCCTTTTTATGTAACAAATATTAATTAACAAACTTGTAAGTGATCACACCATGTCAATAGTTTTCTGGCTAATGTGTCCCAGGTTTTGTTCTTGCTAAGCTAATTTGTTCTTAGCAAAATATAGTGTGTGTTGATGGGATGTTTTTGTGTATGCTTTCTAACTTGTATAGTACAAGTTTTAAGAAAGGAAATAAAGGAAATAGAGGGTTGGATACCCTTCAGGACACGGGTTGGCGATGCAGAGCAACTGTCTGTGTTTAGGCGCGTGCGTGTTCTTTGGGTTCTGAGATGGGATCTGGGGGCTTGGAATGACCTCAGGTCTGTAAATATGGGCAGGAAAAGTCCCAGGGCCTGGGAAGTGAACCTGTGTTTTTGTGTGTTGTATGTGTGTGTGAAGCCTGGGGTCAGTCAGTCACCCTGGGGTATGCATTGAAGCGTGGTGGGCGCCAGATGATGTGGGAAGAAGGGGACTGATCTAGGGGTCATGGCTCTTGCTAAGCAGCTGTGTAATTTGGGGCAAGTTACTTAATTTCTCTTAGCTTCCTTTCCTTTTAAAAAAGAGTCTTGGATTTAGTAATATCTGAGTCTTCTTTCAAGCATATTTGTCACTGATATAAATGTCAATAAATTAAGCTGATCAAATAAAATGTTTTCTAGCAGTGAGATATACTTGAATAACTGGGTCTAAAGCTAGAGTTTTAACTAAATGATACTTGTAGATTCTTGTAACTTTTTTTTTTTTTTGAGACAGAGTCTCCCACTGTTGCCCAGGCTGTAGTGCAATGGTGTAATCTTGGCTCACGACAGTCTTCGCCTCCTGGGTTCAAGCAATTCTCCTGCCTCAGCCTCCCAAGTAGCTGGGACTACAGGTGTGTGCCACCACGCCTAGCTAATTTTTTTGTATTTTTAGTAGAGACGAGGTTTCACCATGTTGGCCAGGATGGTCTTGATTTCCTGACCTCGTGGTCTGCCCACCTTGGCCTCCCAAAGTGCTGGGATTACAGGCATGAGCCACGGCACCTGGCTGATTCTTGTTACTTCTTAGGATAAAGACCTGGGGATGATTTATATGGCAAAAAAAATTTTTTGGTTGCTAAATTTGAAAACCATAGTAATACAGTCTGGACACACACATCTATTAATGCAGCTTGAAATTGTGCATAGTTTTTTTAGTAGCTTTTATTATTTAGGTATCCCCACACAAACTGAAGTTTACTCTGTCATCTCTTTTTTTTTTTTCCTTTTGAGATGCAGTCTCACTCTCATCCAGGGTGGAGTGCTGTGGTGCGATCCCAGCTAACTGTAACCTCTGCCTCCTGGGTTCAAGTAATTCTCCTGCCTCAGCCTTTGGAGTAGGTGGGACTACAGGCACCCACTACCACTCCCAGTTAATTTTTTTGTATTTTAGTCTAGATGGAGTTTCACCATGTTGGTGAGGCTGATCTTGAACTCCTGACCTCAAGTGATCCACCCGCCTTAGCCTCCCAAAGTTCTGAGATTATAGGCATGAGCCACTGTGCCCAGCCTATTTCAGTTTTAAAACTAAATGCTGCCATTGACTCCCTGTAGACTTTCATTTTTGGTTTTGGACTATCATTTCAGCCTACTATGACCTTTCTGGAGCTGATTCTGTCAGGCTGTGTCTGTTGGGTCACTCACAGTTTTTTTTTTTTTTTTCACTTGCAAATGTGAAGAGGTCTATGGGCTTATTAAATTAATAGAAGTTGTCTAGATTGTGAAAAAGGATGGAACCCTGTGATATATTATTGGAGACTTTTTACCAACTTGATTGATGTTGTTACGTTAGTCAACCAGGTGTTCAACTGGCTATGCATCTTGTTAGTTGAATTTAACAGACTTTTGAGCTTCTACTGTTCAACATTTTCCCATCTTGTTCACCAGCCTATTATTTAGAAGATTATTTCAGATTGTCGTATTAGATTCAGTTACGTATATGTATCATTCTCTCGTCCTCCCTTTTTCCATTTTAGTAATCCTGCTAAATAAAAAGCGCATGTTATATAGCCTGCCTTAATAAAGAGCTGATGGTGGCTTTCTCTTTTTGCTGTATTCAAAAACTTACTTATCCATTTTAGAATTTTTCAGCAGTTGCATGGAAGGTTTACCCATAGATGTTTTTCTGGATCTGCATTCTGCCTTTTTTTTTTTTGTGGGGGTGTAGGGGAGACAGTCTCAGTCTGTTGCCCAGGCTGGAGTGTGCAGTGGCATGATCTTGGCTCACTATAACCTCCGCCTCCTGGGTTCAAGCAATTCTCCTGCCTCAGCCTGCCAAGGAGCTGGGACTACAGGTGCACGCCGCCACACCTGGCTAGTTTTCTTTGTATTTTAGTAGAGAAGGGGTTTCATTGTTTTGCCCATGCTGGTCTTGAACTCCTGAGCTCAGGCATTCTGCCCACCTCAGCCTCCCAAAGTGCTAGGATTACAGGTGTGAGTCACCATGCCTGTCCTGCATTTCCTCTTTTTTGAAATTTGAGGATGAGTTCTTTTATTTCTGGTCTTCTGGCACCTTGTCAGGGTAGCTTATGTAATTAGTGGTAGATTTTAAGGCAGATGTAAAAGTTTTTTCAGTATCATGGAATGTGAGTTGATTCTTTTGAACTAGCTCTATATTCTGTTACTGTCCCCTATCATGCCACTTACCTTAGAAGTAGTTGGTTTCTTTTTATCAGATTTCTGTCCTCCCTAGCTTGAAGGTCATGTTCCTTGATGATGAAGATGAAGCACAGGGAATTGGCCCTGTTGTCTCTTGATATTACATCTTTCCTAAGCAGTGGGCCTTTGGTTTATCTCTTCTTGTTCTAAACAAGACTTTTTTGTCTGTTTGAGAGAGGGTCTCATTCCTGTCGCTTGGGCTGGAGTGTAGTGGCGCAATCTCAGCTCACTGCAACCTCAGCTTCTTGGGCTCAGGTGATTCTCCGCCTCCTGTGTAGTTGGGACTCTAGGTGCGTGCCACCACACTTGGCTAATTGTTTGTATTTTTAGTAGAGAGACGGCTTTGCCATGATGCCTAGGCTGGAGCAAGACTTTTTTTGTTGTCCTCTTGGCCAAGTTCTCCACTCTCATTCTGGACTTTAGATTTACTGCGATTAAAAAAAAACTTTGATTTTATATCTTTTTTTATTATACTTATTCTTTTAAAAGCTAACTTACCAGAAAGTCCCCAGTTATCCATGACATATATGAAGAAAGATAAACTTGAACTCGGAGACCAGGTAACTTTAGACTGACTTTTTTTTGTTTTTCATTTGTAACATGAAGATGATGATAGTCCTTTTTGACTCTACGGTATTTGAGAAGAAAAATGAGGCTAACCATATAGGGCATTTCTTTTTTTTTTTTT